CATTACAGATTGTCTCTTTTTAGATGTAACTGCATGAAAATTAAATGTTTAATAATGAAGATGCAGGTTTACAATATAAAACGGTTATTTTATTGGAAAAAGTGCTTTCTATGCGGAGCCAAATTTTCTAGTCATCAAATTTACCTTCATTAATTCACACGGCAGTCCTCACAAATGGCAGCTATAATGCTGAAGAAGAAAATGAAGAATAAAGAAGTATTCAAACATGAATATACAAAAATATAATCGAAAGTTATGAATTAAGCAATACTGAAGTCAATAAATTCAGACATGCTGCTACATCAATACCAACATGAAAGCAGAATTATGACATTTCATGAATGCAAAAAGATTATCGAAGTGCAATATCATAACTGTGAGGCTTATTTTATATCAATTTTTCTCGCCTAGAAGTAAGCACTAAAATATTTCAAATTCTATCAGCATCTGAAGTAAAGTGGCAAATCTCCCACAGGAACTATTTTTGGGCGTGCCCAATGTAGCGATATTTTCAATATATATTTTAAAACATATGGTATTTCCCCTATTACCAGTTTTTTGATGCAACTTTCATTATTGTTTTCAAAAAAAAATCCGTATTATTTATGGAATTTTTTCTTCGGAATTCTTAGCCAATTTCACATATTATTTACAACTCGCTTATTATTACAAAAATGCATTTTTGAACGGAGATTTGAACAGAAATTCATTTCAAAAACAATTTTCATTCCGTAAAATGATGTTCTGCATTAAGGCAGAAATATATAAAATAGCTTACGATGTACAATCAATGCAACAGTAATTTTTGCAGAATTTCCAGCACTTTCATTTAGCAAGATTACACAACTTTGCAAAAATGCATGTTTGAAGAAAAGAAAAATTTGCTTTAAGAGAACAAATGCGTTGATTCATATCGCAGTAATTTTGTTCCATTATGATAACTGACTTTTCCACTATGACGATGTTGCCTATATTGCTGATCGGAATATGCCAACACGCATAATTTTCTGTTCTACATTTGTTCGCGCCAGTCCTACTTTGTGATGCAGGCACGTGCACATTAATAATACCAATACTCCAAATAAACAAATAAGTAAACATATGCAGTAAATGTTTCTTTTATCATACTAGCTGTTCTGAACATTGCTGCAGTCTACCTTACTACATCTTCATTGTTTATCAAACGATAATAAGAATTGTAAGGATTGGGACATATTGATCTCTAGTTCAAGAAGCAACACACTGCTTAGTCCAGTAATACTTAAATGACATATTAAAATTTCAAAATTGAGTCCATGATAGTATAAATGACAAGAAAACATTTCTATAATGAATTATAAAATGATTTTTTTGTTTCTCACAATCTATGTTAAAAGACCTAAAAAAGAGACAACGGAACTGCTTCACTTGTAAACACCAACAACCACATTTCACCCTAAGATTATATTACACTTGATTCATAATATGAAAAGCATCAATAAAAAAGTATCAATAAAGTACAAAACTTGTTTCAAATATTTATTTTTTGATACTTATTATTTATCATGCTGAAAACATTCAACATAACGTAGACTAAGTATTGATGAGGTCACTTTATTAGTAAGAAAATACTTTCCACTTGGTTTTGTATCACAAAAATTTTTTTTATGAAATAAATAAGAATCAAAAACTGAGGAAAAAAGCTATAATTTCGGGCGATATACAAGCTGTATAAAGATAAGGATAAGACTATGAAAGCTAAAAAGAAATAAATCATCGCCCACTTTAAATTTGACATTTGGGACAAATTCAAAATAATATTAACTTTAGTATCTGTCGGCAAATAGGCCGAAAGTAGTAATACAATAACTAGATAAAAAGATTGTATATAGTGTATATAGGACCTTATTATTAATAAAGAAAAAAGGAAGGGCGCTAACATAAAGAAGTCAACCTAACAGGCAACGCAGCGATGGGAAAAGTATAACCAGAAAATAAACGTGCAAATTAACGATGTAGATATTTGATATCAACAAGTGGAGGTTCTCAGCGATACTAGCAGAGCAATTTCTTATTACCAATATTATATCGGGTCGACGAGTTGGAGAACGGTGATGTTAGGAAGCATTTAGGTCGCGTTAAAGGGAAACGGTTAGGAGGACGAATGAAAAGGATTCGCTCTTAGGGCACAATAACACGATGCGTTCAACGGTAATAAGGAGTTTAATTACCCAAGTTGAGTATTAAACAGCGTGAATTTCGACGAAGAGAAATTCTACGGGTCGAGAAATGCAACGGCAAGAACAATATTCTTGCAATAAACGACGACGTACAAGCAATGATCAAACCAACTACGGTTCCGACACTCAACGACAATTCAAGGATTAAGAAGAAAGAGGAAGAAGGAAAACAACAGTCAGTTCGTTCTACTGATAGTACAATGCGAGTGACGAGAATAAACGTGGTAAGAATATAAATTAAAGTAGGAAACAGTTATATAAACAGATAATCGTCCCTTATTAAAAAAGGGGAAAATTTTTTTCTCCTACAGTGTCTTCTAATCATTTGTTCGCACTCATAATTAACCTCTTTTATCATTGTAACATATTTCACAGGGCGTTTTACGCATTATAGTTTCATACATTGATAAGGATGAAATAATTAAGTTACAGGAAAATCAGTAGTATGTCTTTTCTCAGCTAGATATGTGTTAATACAAAGTACTTATGCTCTGTTATCAAGAAATCTTGAAGACAAGAACAAGGTATCATTGATGAAAGAATTTGACACTAGTTGAAAAGGATATTGTTGAAAAGCACCATCAACAAATTGTGATTGGACAAGCATTTCCCGAAGTGGGCGGTGCGGGAAAGATTGAAAGATGGTGCACCAATAGACTAGTCTTGTCCGGATTGATGGCACTGAACGAGTTGCTTCTGCTTTTCCCTGCTTTGGGACCTACGCTTATATTTCCGAGTCATGGGCAATGCTCACGTCTGATCGACCCACCTCACCAAAATGTGTGGACATACCCAGAAACTTGACGCTTTGTTACGGTATACAAGTAAGTAAGCAGCACAGAAAACCATACCCTTCTCATCCTTCCTTCGCTTCTCTTCTTTTATTAATTTCGTTACTTGGAGCTATACGATCACTATTTATGGTACAAAAGAAAAATGACCCTCCCTCCGTTGGTTCTCCTCTAACACTATCTTACCACACTGTTGGTAATTTAATCGAAAATTTTCAATACTCAACAATGCGTTTACTAAATTCGTGGATACCACTGCTTTGTTTATTTTTTTTGCACCCATTAAAAACAAAAAAAAAAAAACAAAACATTACTATGAATGGAAGATTTAATATTAAATTCTTGAAACAAACAGCCTATTGGGGATTCAAATTTCTTGAAGGTGGTACAGTCGTCTCGATACATTTCCTAAGAAAACATTCGGACAAATTTTTTACGAAGTTTAATTATAGAAATTAGCGCACAAGTATGTTTTTAGGATAGAAGCATATTCGAAAGATGAACATGAAATAAACTACTTTGTCGAAAATCAGATTTTTCTTTTCTAACACGAAAATTAATTTTCAAATTTGTTTTAATGTTTTCAAAAAATGTATAGAAATTATAACAGACATCAGTTAGGGTTATTCATTAGCGAAAAGTTTTAAAAGCAAGTAATTAGTCCAGTGGGTCTCTAAAATTTAAGCTAGACCATTTTGAGGCTCACACCTCCTGATTTTTCTTTTCTTTTTTTTCTTCGAAGTTTTTCCTGCTTCTAGATATGCCTTGAGTAAAATATGAAAGGATGGGAAATTGTGGCAATCTTTTGCTCAGCACTTCAAAAAATTATTTGTTATTTGATAAAAAGCAAGATGAAAACCGGAAGCAATGAATGTCTAGAATTTAAAGAATAATAAATTGCCACAATAATTAGTCCAGTGGACCTCTATAATTTAGGCCAAACCATTTTGATGATGCGAAACTCTTCATCTGTTAAATCCAATGGATAATTTCTAAAACAATCATGTTGCAATCAGTTCATGATTCCATTACTCAATGTTCGTCAAAAGCAGCTAATTAACAAAACAGATCATTAAAGAATTATGTACACAATTAGGATTTTAACAGAAGTAGTCGTTTTCTATTATTAACCAGAAAGCAGAAAAAAATTCCTAATTGAATAGGAATACATCTGCAGCTTATTTTATATTTTGGAGTTATTTTATGACCGGCGAAACAAGGCCGGCTGCAACATGAAAATTGAAAAATGATCTGATTTCATTGGTAAATTCTTTGTAGTTCTGAGTAACTTGGATTAAACTTCAAGCCAACTTTCTTAAAAATTAATCCATGAAAGATAGATGGATCTTCGACATCTGTATTACTGAAAAATTGTTCCTTTTTATTGGATCCTAACTCGTAAGATACAGGGATTTCCTCATAAAAAGATAATATGAGTACTTCTGATGAATAAAAATTGAATGAAAAGTGTGGACCATTTTAATCTGACGCTCTTCCTATCACTTATTTCCTAACTGTCATGGGGAAAAGCTTTTTATCAAATAAAAAAGGAATCAGTGCAGATTTAAATTGCTTGTTTCATTTCTATAAAGTGAGAAAGTATCATTCAATTATTTAAATATAAGAAAAAAGAGTAATATCATTCTTGTACACTTCCAATCATGACGTATTTCTAAGGTATGCTTCACTCTTACACCCTCCTTATTATCATATTAGGCTTCATTTTGGTCATGTAGACATGCCAGTATTTAAATAAGTATTTTCAGTTTCATATTTTAAGCTGAATGTCAAATCATACACGCAACCTTTTGTTGCATCAAGAAAAATAAAATTTCCCCCTTTTCTATGAAACGTGAATTGTGAATGATTAAGTTTAGTAATTTAGTTATTGTCTTGTTTTTTGACTGATTAAATTTTGTTATTTATTTCTTTTGAAGGCTTAGTTCCATTTGCTGTTTTTTGTAGCAAAAAATTTCACTTATTTCATTTGTCAGAATTTGGTAGTGCTCACCCTAAAACGTCGATCCCAATAAGTGGACGAAAGCCAGTAGCGATCAAACGGTGAATAATAACCGTAACGGTAAGGATAAGAATACGTGTAACGATAGTGTGGATAATCGTCATAACAATAGTGGTATCGACTGTAGTACGACGGATAACCGTATCTGGAAAAGTAAACCTTCGACGTTATAAAATAATCTAGATATTTAGTGATGCTAAATTCTCGCACAGGTTTTTTATAAATTTGTGAGATTAACAAATTAAATGTTTTTTTACTGCTGGAAGAGAGTAGGAACTAGTTCTACGGAATTATTTCGAGCAATTTGGAAAAAGCCCATAGGAAACATACAAGTATCCTCTGTATCGAGTCCAATAGTTGTATGGATAGCTCCAGTAACTATATGGATCCAAAACGTAGTTATAATAATAGTAACGACGGGGAAAGAATGTACTGCGATATAGCGGACTGTAATAATAATAGCGATCGTACCAATAATCATCATACTGCAACTATTCGACTTCAGGGAACTATTTAAATTAATGAATACGCAAAGATTATTTCAACATAAAGAAATCAAACATTATTTCCTTTATGGATATAAGAAATACATTTAATTAAAAGAAATTGGTGTACTCAGAACATCCGAACTATATTCACTGAAAAATAGGAAAATGGATGATCGCTGGAATATAAGCTCCCGAGGAAAAAAGATCAAAAAACATTTTTTCGAAAAATCATCATTGTCGGTTGGAAAATAGAAGAGACATAATTACAATGATTAATCCTACAGTTACCATATCCCAATCTCTACAGTAGCGATATGGCCATTTCGGGGTGTAACGGCTATACAGGCTCAGATCTGGCACTGATCGTGTTCGGTAAATCTGCAATATTTATGTTCAATTTTCTTTTCCTTTTTTTTTTTTTTTTTCGATTTCTAAAAAACTGTTGTAGTTGAACCTTCAACAAAGATAATGAGAATGGAGACAATACCGTAGTAGAATACGACGGTCTCAATACAACAGCGGACTGTGCTCGAACAAGTTGCACCATTGTGGCTTCCTTTGACTTCCTTAAGTTAACTTCAGCTTTCAGAATCTGTTATAATAACGATCTAAGTGGTAGTGTCACACCTTTCCCGCCACCTTAATTGTTTCTTGTCATATTGGCATTCGACTCAAAAATGATTGCGAAGGAAACTTCGTAAAGGTAAAACATGAAACATAGAACACAATAGACGAATAAACAAGTAATCTATATCCATTTCTTTTACAACTTCTTAAATACTGTTAGAAAAACACTGCCTTGTGAGTGGCACCTTTGTTTTAGCCAATTAGTAATGAAAAGTTTCTTCGTTCATAACTAAGGGAATGACAAGTGGTACTATAATACTATAATAAGCAAATTCATTATCATCACTATATTATTCGAGGGTGCACCTGCTCAAATAAGAGCTTCGCAAAGAACAACACAAAAATTTTCACCTTTTGTGTATCAATACACCCACTGCAGTCGCAAATACACAGGACTTTTACAAACCAAAATGACATCTGAACATCCCATAAAGTGATATATTTGGTTAGAAATTTAATTGTATAAATGATAAATTTGGTCAGAAATTTTATTCAAAAGGACAAACCTGATCAGATATTCATTCACTTTAAACTTAATTTAAAATATGATGACTAATTTCTTCAAAAATTGTTTCTGCATTTTAAACAGAGCAACACTTCAGAGCCAAAAGAAAAAAAAAACCAAAAACAATAAATTGAAGAAGTTTCAACGGAAGTATTTTAATAACACACTATTTCAAAATGTCGATCAGCACAATACGCATCTCGAAGCACTTATCTGAATGGCCCACCATTTGACACGTAGTTGTAACCTGCTAAGTGAAACCTCAGTTTACTTTCCAGTCTCTCCAATGTACTCTAGTTGTCTAACTGAGGTAGAATATGTTCATATACTAAACTCCGCAGTTCTGAAATCGGCGGAAAAGCTTAAGCTGCAATTTTACGAAAATAGTTGCCACCCCCTCACACCTTCACCTCATGCCTCAAGCTTCGCAACCTGTCGTCACAATCATCCGCCTCTTTCAAAGAAAGCAGAGATCGAATTGTCCGTCATTCTCACAATGTAAGTCATCGATATTATCAGCAAAAAATGGAGAACGGCTGTCCGACGACTGCTCTGCCAACACTAATCCTGAAAATGAGCTCCGTCCCGGAGCAGTCAGTGAAAGCAGCGCATGCTTCAGGGAGTAGTTTTGAAAAGACTGTAACAAACGTTTCTGTCCTTCATTAAGCATGTACGTGGCTCAACCATACTGACGTCAAAAAAAAAAAGATCAAACTGTTTTCAGGCCAGAATAGTTGCACCAATGAAAATTCTCTTAGTTATCAAATATTGTGTTTCTTATCGTATATAAGCCAAAAAAGGCAGATGCATCACACAGAGCAATTCTCAAGGAATAGTGACAGCAACAATACTTCATTCGTACCAAATTTGAAGTGATTCCGCACTAAGAAACTGAACCCATACGTTAATGAGGACAGAACAGTAAACATTGTGAAAACCTTTTTTTTTGCGAATGATACTGAAAAACTAAGAGCCAACAATAAATCAAGTTGATTCCAACAAAAATTTGATAATAAGTGAGTACAAGAGAGACAAAAGTGATCAACGTATAGAACTCCGTGAGGAAAGCTTAATGATGACTTTCCTAAGTATTGCAGAATTTCAGTAGCTCAAAATCTTTTTATTTATGAGCACAATCTTTCATTTGGAACAGCAACTGAGTTAATAAATCAACAACTATCATATCAATCCATAAGCTTATGCCAACCATAAATCGCCAGCGTGACAAATGGCTCAGTTCTGCAATGCAAATATAGTTTTGTTGAGAACAAAATGCATAAAACTGGACGAACAAGTAGTATTCATTTGCTCTGCTTATTTAATTCAAATTAAATATACGTTACTGTATTTTTTACTTGTAAATTCGGTCATGCACCAAAAGATCAGTAATTATTATATATATATATATATATATATATATATATATATTGTTTTCAACCATATATTTCTCACAACTTTATATGCAACCTTACTCCTTTACTTTCACTAATCAGTAAAATGATAAACAAGATGCTAAAGTTTATACGTAAACAACTCGAAATCCAACTTTATTTCCAAATCCATTTTCTATCACTCTTATTTTTCTTTCATATTCGAACTCGTTCGTCTGCAACAGTGCCTAAACTGCACCTATGTAAACCGCCAACAGTGAACTTGACTAAATAAGCAATATTCCGAACAAGCTTGTACTGAGATCTTGTGTTAATGTTTTACGGTCGGCCGATGTTTGCAAGTGGACAATGAAAAAAGCTTGCCAAAATAGGTAGTGTGGTTGGAGGAAGTTGCTGAGGTTAGTATGGGGGTATGCGCTGGAGTTTATCAGAATTTATGTGTAATTTGACTCGGAATTGGAGTAATGCTTCTCAGATAACGTTGTTCTATGGAAGGAACTGGTGATGTCGTGAGTTTGTTCTGTGTGGTGTACTCACCACGAGTAGCGCCAAACCTGGACCTTGGTCGTGAATTCATTTAAAAATTCATTTTGACTTAGTCTGATTTCATTCTTTAGCGATTTATTGTGTTGTCACTTCAGTACAATGTTTGTACACTTGTTTTTCAGTTGCAGTTTTTGCCACTAAAACTCCCTTACCATTCCTTTATTATTATGTATGAAAGCTTTCTATCCACAGAAACTGTGCGTTGAATATAGCAGAACTTAATTATCTATTAGTAGTTCGATTATTAGTTGTTCATTAAATAAAACTTTAAGAGATGGAGGTGACGAATGAAAGGAGTGGTTAATGAAGATCCAAAGTTTCTTCACTTAGTTAATGCATATTGGAATCTTTCACTTTCTACACCTAGAAATATATATTGCGTTTATCTTACTGTTTAAATTTTACGGAGCTGTATTGTATGTCGTTCATCAGTCGGAGAGGTTTGTAGAAGTGATGTATCCCAGAATTAGAACAGAACCCTTAGAAATTGAGATATTATAAAGCCGTATTATAAAGCAGTATAAAAGGATTTAAAGTGGAAAATGCATGAAAATTAATGGCCACCAAAAATTGAATAAGTTTATCCCACTACGCTTACTTTCAAATAAAGTAGAATACATATGATAGTAAGAATCTGACAATGATGATTTTAATTTGTTTTTTGTTAACCACTATGCAAAAAATTCGTTGCAGTAGTTTGTCAATCGCTAACGGTGAAGCATAAAAGGTGACAGACGCAATTTTGTTTTTTCACACGTAGCAGAATGTTTTAACTTCATTAAATATTAGTGGCAATTCCTTCTTAGAAAAATATGACGTGTATTCCTTTTATTAATTCTGCAAATTCCGTTGTTGTAGAAGCACATGTGTTTTTGTTACGATAAAGACCCATCATCAGCTGATACTCATTGTACATTACACATGAATTCTGCTGTTTTTTATCAAAAAAGTTGCATATTGAATGATTGATGACATCTTTCAGAAAAGATGTATTCGTGTTTCTGCACAAAATGTCGCTTATAGATTGTGGATGTCAGTACAGTTTACGTTTTAGTAATTATCATTATCTATTTTCAGAATTATTAGGACCCCCAAAATTTTCTGTAATACAGTTCGGTTGGAAAGTTAGGTTTTTTCATCCATCGTAAACAAGTCTTTCTCGAGGAACTGATGCAGTTATTTAGTTCAGTGGTTTTATTTGTCTAATAAGTTATCTACTGTGTTGTTTCAATCGCCCATAACTTCAAGAATACGATACGTCATTATCCTGTAGTTTAGTTTTGTTTATGAATTTTATTCAAATTGGAAGCAGTTATATTTTAGCTTCGTGATGAATTAATATCATAATGGTGAATGCTATTTGCCATCACGCTGTATTGCCCACCACTTTGCTTCACTTATACCGAAATGCAACGCACATTTCAAATGTGATTTGTTCCTATATAAATTTCGATATTTTAAAGTTCTGTAAGTTTAATTTAGGTGCTTTCATTGTATATAAGCGGGGCAAAAAATATGTTACAAGAGGATTTTCTGATGAAGCAGCATGTTGCATTTTATCGTTTTTTTTTACGCCACACGTTATGAATAATCATATCCAAAGCTATTGAGTTAGCATAGTTTTCGCAATATATGGCTGTAAGTAATTATAATTTCATTAATGCCTAGTAATATTACTCAAATTCATTTGAGAGTGGTATTCCACTATTAATGCATACTTTTCATTACAGTGCATTTAACTGTAAAGAATTATGCATTGGAAAACAAGGCTGTGAGCTGTGTCTCAACGGGATCTTTACCTTCAATCACTATACTGAATTTTTTTGTAAGAAGTATTTGAACGATTTCATAGCGTTTTTCAGTTTTAGGAAAGTTAGTTAACAAGTTTGAACCGAGTTTGTGTTTATCTTTCGTAGAAAGTTTTTTAATTTTTGATGTTGAGCTTCTGATGGTGTTAGCAAGTTAATTGTAAAACAACACTGTTTTCATAAACAAAACGTGGTTTCGTAGAATATAAAAGGTCCACTGGTATCGTCATTTGATCGCTTTTCATTGATGTTCATCAGAATTTTGTTTCCCTTAAATATCTCTGCCGAGCTCAGGAACTACGCCAGTTCATTTAAGTAATTACTGTGCAAGTTGCTGTCTTAAATATAACCCCAGTTCTTCGGTTAACTTTTCTCACCCCCGTTAATGTGTGATGTAGTGAGAACTAGGTTTTAATGTCATTTTTTCTTTTTTCAGATGAACCGTTGATAATTCAAACGAGAACTCTGAGGAAGGGAATGAGGTTAGGTTCAACTATCGATCACTTCTGTCCCAAAGTATTTTTAAGCTTTACGATGCTTTTTGTGTCACTGTTTATTATTCTCTTACAGAAATCAATTAAATGGGTTTTCTTCAGTATTATCGTAAACATTTCCTTGACTGTGTCATCTTTTTATTCTTTTATTCTCTTGTCCAGTATAAAATACTGGA